CGTTGCTCCGAGTCCTATCCTGCTCGGATATAAGAACTTTATCTATATCCTTTATTGATTCCTTTTCACCCACTTGACTACTTCTATCATATCTCCCCGCACCTTCATCTTTCTAGGGAATGCAAGTTTAGTTTCTTTTAACCTATCCTGATATGGAAGGTTTCAAGTCCCGGAATCATTTTCGTCATTCTTCGCTGCACCGACTCTAGTGAATTGATATCCATTCTATAATAGGCACCAGAACTGAACCGCATAATCGAGGTGCGGCCTAACTAGCGCAAGATAGTTGGGCCAAGACCTCTGCACTCTTGTTACTTACACTTCTAGATATAAAACCCAATACTCTGTTTGCCTTTATTTGAACATTAACTCACTGTTTTCTAGGCCGTAGGTCCGCTTACAAGTACCCTAGGTCTCTTTCACAAGTCGACTTCTCTAGGTTGATGTTGTTGGCGTGCTGTGTGTGTTCTTCCAATATTAAGTACGCTGCACTTGCTGGTGTTGAATTTCATTTGCCATTTTTCAGACCACCCCCAGTTTATTTAGATCCTCCTGTAATGCATTTGCATCCTGCCCTGAATAATTTGCCGCCCATGGTGTCATCCAACTTGCTTATGTCACTGCTGATCCCAGTATCTAAATCGTTTATGTAGATTATGAACAAGAGTGGGCCTTGTACTGACCCCTGGGGAACTCACTGGTTACAGGCCCCATCAGATTTAACACCCACCCTCTGCGTTCTAGTCAAGATGATTTTATCCATTTAAAACTTTCCCTTGATACCATGAGCCTTTTCTCGCAGTCTAGTACTCTGTCAAATGCTTTGCTAAAGTCTAAGTAAATAACATCGTAATTTTCGTCATTATCTACTACTCGAAGACTTTCCAAAACGTTAGCAGATTTGTTAGACTGAAGTTCGTCCAGAAAGACGTATGTGGTCGGCAGATTTTCAGCATGGCGATATATATATATATATATATATATATATATATATATATATATATATATATATATATATATATATATATATATATGTGTGTGTGTGTGTGTGTGTGCATTGTGATTCATGTGACCCCAGTTTAACTAGCTTGGAGGTTAGGTTTATTGTTTTGAAGTGTAATTGTCAAATCCTAATAGAAAGTGTTCAATAAATAGAGTAACCATTAATAAGTGTAATAATTCCTCCCTCCCTTATTGAGAAAGATTGATTTATTATAAGTGGCCTGGTGGTATGCAGTGATACAGAGAGCCCTGTAAAATAACACACCTATCACCTGTTTCCTCTTCCCAGTTATTGTAGGTTAGCGCTATTCCTTAGTCATCAACCTAGCCTCTCTTCCCAGTTACTCCCTCCTTCCCCAGTTTCATCTCATATCGGTTACCTTGTGGTGGGAGAATGAACCACAGGCAAACCCCCCCACCTCACTAACCACAAACTGGCCTTTAGCTGCTACTCCCTCCTCTCACCCCACCCTCACCTCTTCCACCTCACGAGAAAACAAAGAAAGAAAGGAAATAGAATCAATAAGATCTAAGAAAGAAAATAAAAGGAAAAATAAAAGCTTTTATTAGAAACTTGTGCCACTCTAACTGGTGCCACTTTCTGGCACTCTAATTGGTGCATTCTATCTGGTGCCACTCTTCTGGTGTCACTCTATGCCACACTATCTGGTGGCGCTCTATCTGGTGCCACACTATCTGGTGGTGCCTATCTGGTGCCACTCTTCTGGTGTCACTCTATCTGGTGCCACTCTTCTGGTGTCACTCTATCTGGTGCCACTATCAGGTGCCACACGCATCCGTTCTATCCTGGCGACACCCTAACCGCCACTCTAAATGATATCACTCTAACTGGTGCCACTCTCACTGGTGTTAATGTCACTGGTACCACCCTCACTGGTGCCACCCTAACTTGTACCACCCTCACTGGTGGCAACTCTCACTGGTGTTAATACTGGTACCACTTCTCACCCCAACTTCTAAGCACTTCCCTCACTGCTAATTCTCACTGGTGTTAAGCACTGGTACCACCTTCACTGGTGCCACCCTAACTTTGTACCACTCCTACTAGCGCAATCTCTAACTGGTGTCGCTCACTGGTGCTGCCCTCAGTGGTGACCGCCTTAACTGGTGTCGCTGTCACTGGTGCACCCTAACTTGTACCACCTCTGGTGCCACCCCGTCCAGCACTCACTGCACCCCAACTGCGCCTCGTCGTCGCCCCAAGTCGTCCCAACTTAATGGTGTCGCCTGTGCCACCCTCACGGTGCACCTTACCGGCAACTCATAACACCACTGATAGCCACCCTAACTGATGCCACTCACTGGTGCCAATTTCACTGGTGCCACCATAACTTGTACCACCCTTCACTGGTGCCACCCAACCTGGTGTTTCTCACTGGTGCCGCCCTCAGTGGTACCTCGCCCTAACTGGTGTCGCTGTCACTGGTACCACCTCACTGGTGCCACTCTCACTGGTGCCACCTTCATGGTGCCTCGTCGCCACCATCACTGTACCATCTCTCACTGGTGCCACTCTAACTGATGCCACTCACTGGTGCCACTCTCACTGGTGCCCACCAAACACCTCACTGGTGCCACCCCTAACTGATGCCACACTCACTTGCCCCCACCATCACACCCCACTGCCCAGCCACCCTGTGCCATACCTCTCTCACTGGTGACACTCTCACTGGTGTCACTCTGCCCAAATGCACCCATAACTTGTACCACCACTGGTGCTACCCTACTTGTACCACCCTCAGTGGGGCCAAAATCACTGGTGCCACCCTCACTGGTGCCATTCTCACTTGCCACTTTAACTAACTTGTACCCACCTCACTGGTGCCACTCCTAACTGGTGTCGCCTCACTGGTGCCGCCCCTCAGTGGTACCGCCCTAACTGGTGTCGCTGTCACTGGTGCCACCCTCACTGGTGCACCCTAACTGATGCCACTCTCAATGGTGCCACCCTCACTGGTGCCACCCTCACTGGTGCCACCCCACTGGTGCCACCCTTAACTGATGCCACTTCAATGGTGCCACCCTCACTGGTGCCACCCTCACTGGTGCTAGTGCCACCCCGCCCAGCCACCTGGTCCATCTCAATGCCACCTCCCACACTCCTGCTCAGCCATCCTCATCTGCCACCTGCCATCCCACCCATGTCCTCCAGCCCAGCCAAAATCACTGGTGACTTTCACTGGTGCCACCTCACTGGTGCCATTTCTCACTGGTGCCACCCTCACTGGTAAGTACTCTCACTGGTGCCACCATAACTTGTACCACCTCACTGGTGCCACCCTAACTGATGCCACCTCCACCACTGTCAATATAACTTGTACCACCATCACTGGTACTACCCTAATTTGTACCACCCTCAGTAAGAATCACTGGTGCCACCCTCACTGGTTCCAACCAACCTGTCACCACGTAGTCCACCCAACTGGTGCCACCTCACTGGTGCCACCTCACTGGTGCCACTCTCACTGGTGCCAATCTCACTGGTGCCACCTTAACTAGTACCACACCCCTCACTGGGGCCAAAATCACTGGTGCCACCTCACTGGTGCCATTCTCACTGGTGCCACTTCACTGGGGCCAAATCACTGGTGCCACCCTTCACTGGTTCCATTCTCACTGGTGCCACCCCACTAAACAAATCACTGAGCCACCTCACTGGTGCCACCATCACCAGCCACCATTCACTGGTGCCATCCCACCGGTTCCCACGCCAAGCCTATCACTGGTACCAAGTCACCTCACTGGTGCCACCCAAGCCCAAACACTGGTACCCCTCACTGGTGCCATTCACTGGTGCCACTCTCACTGTGCCGCACACTGGGCACCTCACTGGTGCCATTCTCACTGGTGCCACTCACTGGGCCAAAATCACTGCGCACCCTCACTGGTTCCATTCTCACTGGTGCCACTCTCTCACTGGGGCCACAATCACTGGTGCCACTCTCACTGGTGCCACCCACTGGTGCCACTTTCACTGGGGCCAAAATCACTGATGCTCACCACACCGTGCCACTCTCACTGGTGCCACACCACTGGTTAATTCACTGGTGCCAATTCTCACTGATGCTACTCACTGGTGCACCATCACTTGTACCACCTCACTGGTGCCACTCACTGGTGCCATCCTTAAGGTCCACCCTCACTGGTGCCAACCTACTGGTGCACCTCATTGTATTGTCACTGGTGCCACTTCACTGGTAGCACTTAACTGGTGCCACCTCACTGGTGCCACAATCACTGGTCTCACCTCACTGCCACCTCCCACGCCATCACCTCACTGCCACCAGCCACTCCACGTTCATTTGATGCCACACTGATGCCACTGTCACTGGTGCCACCCTCACTGGTGCCACAATCACTGGTGCCACTCACTGGTGCCACACTCACTGGTGCCACCCTCACTGGTGCCACACTCACTGGTGCCATTGTCACTGGTACCACCTCACTGGTGCCACAATCACTGGTGCCACACTCACCAGTGCCACCATAGAGGCGCCACACTCAGTGAACCCACCCTCACCGGTGCCACCATCACTGGTGCCACCCTCACTGGTGCCACCTCACACCGGTGCCACCCTCAGTGGTGCCACATCACTGGTGCCACACTCACTGGTGCCACCCTCACTGGTGCCACACTCACTGGTGCCACCCTGCTGGTGCCACCTCACTGGTGCCACAATCCTGGTGCCACACTCAATGGTGCCACCATAGAGCGCCACCTCACTGGTGCCACCGTCACCGGTGCACCATCTTTGGTGCCACCTCACTGGTGCCACCACCCTCACCGGTGCCACCCTTAGTGGTGCCACTCTCACTGGTGCCATCATCACGGGTGCCACTCTCACTGATGCCACTCTCACTGGTGCCCACCTTAAGTGATGCCACCCCCAATAGTGCCACCCCACCCTGTTGCCACCCTCACTGTGCCACTGTCACTGGTGCTACTATCACTGGTGCCACTCTCACTGGTGCCACTCTCACTGTGCCACTCTCACTGATGCACCACTATCACTGGTGCCACTCTCACTGATGCCACTATCACTGGTGCCACTCTCACTAGTGCCAGCTTCAGTGATGCCACCATCAAAAGTGCCACACCCTGGTGCCACCATCACTGGTGACACACTCTCACTGGTGCCAGTCTCACTGGTGCCACTTTCACTGGTCCCACCCTCAATGAGCCATTCACTGGTGCCATCCTCAGTTGCCCACTCTCACTGGTGCCATCACAGGTGCCACTCTCACTGATGCCACTCTCACTGGTGCCACCTTAAGTGATATGCCACCCCAATGGTGCCACCACCCTGGTGCCACCCTCACTGTGCCACTCTCACTGGTGCCACTATCACTGGTGCCACTCTCTGGTGCCACTCTCACTGGTGCCACCTCACTGGTGCCACTATCACTGGTGCCACTCTCACTGATGCCACTATCACTGGTGCCACTTTCACTGGTGCCACCCTCCACTGGTGCCACTCTCACTGGTGCCACTCTCCACTGTGCCACCCCTTACTGGTGCCACCTCACTGGAGCAAAGTCACTGGTGCCACTCTCACTGGTGCCACTATCACTGGTGCCACTATCACTGGTGCTCTCTCTCATGTGCCACTCTCACTGGTGCCACTCTCACTGGTGCCACCATACTGGTGCCCTATCACTGGTGCCACTCTCACTGATCACCACCCCTGGTGCCACCCTCAATAGTGCCATGTCACTGTCGCCACTCACTGGTGCCACTCTCACTGGTGCCACTCACTGGTGCCACACTCACTGGTGCCACCACCCTCACTGGTGCCACACTCACTGGTGCCACTCTCACTGGTGCCACCCTCACTGTACCCACTCACTGGTGCCACACTCACTGGGTACCCACCCTCACTGGTGCCACTATCACTGGTGCCATCCTCACTGGTGCCACCATCACTGATTACCCACTCTCGGTGCCACTCTCACTGGTGCCACCACTCACTGGTGCCACTCTCACTGGTGCCATCATCACTGGTGCCACTCTCACTGGTGCCACTCTCACTGGTGCCACTCTCCTGGTGCCACTTCACTGGTGCCACACTCACTGGTGCCCTCTCACTGGTGACACTCTCACTGGTTTCTCACTGGTGCCACCGTCACTGGTTCCTGTCACTGGTGCCACTCTCACTGGTGCCACCATCACTGATGCCACCATCACTGTTCCATTCACCGGTGCCACCATCACTGGTGCCACCTTCACTGGTACCACCTTCACTGGTGCCACACTCACTGGTGTCACTTATCACTGGTGCCACCATCACTGGTACCACCTTCACTTGCACATTCACTGGTACCACTATCACTGGTGCCACCATCATTTCTGTCACCATCACTGGTACCACCTTCACTGGTGCCACCATCACTGGTACCACCTTCACTGGTGCCACCATCACTGGTACCACCTTCACTGGTGCCACACTCACTGACGCCACTCTCACTGGTGCCACTCTCACTGGTGCCACCCTCACTTGTGCCACCCTCACTGGCGCCATCCTTCCTGGTGCCACCTTCACTGGTGCCACCCTCACTGGTGACAACCTTACTGGTGCCACCCTCACTGGTGCCAATCTCCCTGGTGCCATCCTCACTAGTGCCACCCGCACTGTTGCCACTCTCAATTGTGCCATCCTTACTGGTGCCACCTTCACTGGTGCCACCCTCACTGGCGCCATCCTTCCTGATGCCACCCTCACTGGTGACAACCTTGCTGGTGCCACCGTTCCTGGTGCCAATTTCTCTGGTGCCATCCTCACTGGTGCCACCCTTACTGATGACAACCTCACTGGTGCCACCCTTACTGATGCCAACCTCACTGGTGCCACCCTCACTGGTGCCACTTCAGTTGTACCCACCTCACTGGTGCCACCTTCAGTTATTCCCTCCTCAGAGGTGCCACCCTTAATGGTGCCACCCTCAACGGTGCCAATGTCATTGGTGCCACCCTCACTCTTGCCACCTTCAGTTGTGCCGACCTCACTGGTGTCACCCTCAGTGGTTATTATTCTCACTGGTATTACCGTCATTGGGGCTACTCGGTGGTGCCACTCTCACAGATGCCAATGACATTGCTGCCACCCTCAGTTTTGCCACCCTCAGTGATGCCACTCTCAATGTGGCCACCACTGGTGCCACTCACATTAGTGCCACATTCATTGGTGCCACTCTCACTTCGGCCACTCTCACTGGTGCTACGCTCACTGTATCCACATTCACTGGTGCCACCCTCACTTGGGCAAGCTCATTCGTGCCACTCTCACTATGGCCACTTTCACTGGTGTCAAACTCACTGGTGCCACCTTTCTGGTGCCAAACTCACTGATGCCACCCTCATTGGTGCCACCCTCACTGGGGTCGCCCTCACTGAGTCCAAACTCACTGGTGCCACCGTTACTGGTGCTATGCTCACTGGTGCCACCCTCACTGGTGCCACCCTTACTGGTGCCATCCTCAGTGGTGCCAAACTCACTGGTGCCACCCTCATTGTTGCCACCCTCACTGGTGCCAAACTCACTGGTCCCACCCTCATCGGTGCTACCCTCAATGGTGCAACCCTTACTGGTGCCACCCTCAGTGGTTCCAAACTCACTGGTGCCACCCTCATTGTTGCCACCCTCCACTCACTGGTGCCAAACTCACTGGTGCCACCCTCACTGGTGCCACCCTCACTGGTCCCATCCTCACTGGTGCCACCCTCACTGGTGTCACCCTCACTGGTGCCACCCTCACTGGTGCCATCCTCACTGGTGCTAAACTCACTGGTGCCAGCCTTACTGGTGCAACCCTCACTGGTGCCAACCTTATTGGTGCCACCATAATTGGTGCTACCCTCAGTTCTGCCGACCTCAATGTCGTCACCCTCAGTGTTGCCACCCTGACTGGTGACACTCACATTGGTGTCACGCATATTAGTGCGATCCTCCCTGGTGTCATCCTCTCTTTTGCCACCTTCACTAGTGCCATTCTCACTGGTGCCACCGTTGGAGGTGCCACCCTCAGTATTGTTACCTTCTCTGGTGTTATCTTCAGTAGTGCCACCCTCACTGGTGACACCCTCACTGGTGCCATCCTCACTGTTGCAACCCTCATTGCTGCTCACAGGTCCCAGTCTCACTGGTGTCACCCTCACTGGTGCCACCCTTACTGGTGCCACCTTAATTGGTGCCACCCTCACTGGTTCCACTGTTTTTGGTGCACTTTGTCACTCATGTCACCGATCAACATTTTTATCACTCACCGGTGCCACTAACACAGGTATCATCCTCTACGTAAATAACAAATTCATATTGTATGACTATATTTGGATACTTTTAAAATCGTGAATAGTCTATGGATCTTAATTAAGATATATAAAACATTAGTAAAGGCCAATATGATATGACCTTAAGATATGGTCACTTAAATCAACTACTGTATAATCCTATTGCAAACTTTGGCTTGAACATAAGCAAGAGGAGGCGAAAACTAGTGCTGTGGAGAAGAGTGCTGTGTATGAGGTATGGATGTGGCAATATACGTGAGGGTGGAGGTAATGATGGGTTTGAAGGTTAGGGAAGAATATTGGCGGCCGTAACTCATGGTTGAATGGAATTATGGGTGAGCGACGAATAGCTGGAATCACGTAAATAGGAATTTTACTTACTGAACCATGATCATTGCTTAATAAGTGTATGTGCTAACCTAGCATACATCACGCGCTGAAAGATCTTTAGACTTCAGTCGTTGAAGCGCAGTGCTATAATGTAATAATTATAACACCACTGCAGCTAACGAAAGACCGGAATGAGCTTAATATGTGGTAAGTTCCATCAATAGTCTATTTATGACTCTTTGAATTTGGATATTGGTTCAACTAACAGCGACAATGCATATATCTTTTTGTTATTTGCCCCTACCTTAAGAAATAAAAGGTCCGTGTTATTTTACAATTAAATATCCCAAATGACACCAGCATGAAATATCGATTACAACCCCTTACTTCATGATAACATACATTTTAACGTAACGGTGGGTTCAAAATCATTGCCTTTCTCTCAATCAATTTCAATTTCAATTTCAATATTTATTCCTTGATAGAGTAAGCGGGATCCTAGTGCTGCCACTAGGTACCCCTGTACAATAACTCCAGAAGCATCTGGCAAGTGTCACAAGTATATATAAATATCATAAAGGTGCTTACTAAAGCCTAAGGAAGGAAGGATATTCCTTTAACACATCATCATTATTATTTACATAATATCTGGCCAGTATAGGGAGGATCATCCTGTCTCCATCAGGGGGTTCTCTCAATCTTATATTGATTGTGTTCCTTGAAAGCCTAATAAAAAAAAATCATACCGGTGTGTGTGTGTGGCAGGTCAGGTCAGGTCAGGTGAGAGGGGTACAGGACCTAGACGAAGCCACTGTCGAAAGCAAGGCTTTCCGCTTTAACGTGTTCCCTGTGTAATCTACGACCTTCGCCCCTTTAATTACGATACCCAAATGAGAACGCACGCTCTTCCCCGACCAGAAAAACTCGTCCAACAGTTTAACAAGAAAATGTCCAGTGTCGGGAGGCACAAATCAGAGTGGTTCAGATGACTGCGCTTTTGTTGTGCAGATTAGGCAATTTTTATTTTTGGGGTTTCCTTCCACCAGAACTCTGTGATCTTCGTGAAGCAAGAAGAAGGAAGAGTGAAAAAGGGCAGTTTGACGGGCATGCTAGGTAAAATGCATTGTGGGAGGTAACCAAACCAAGATTATGAAGTGTCCAAGTATCTCTGCAGTCTCGATGTTCAGGATATTATGCAGGAATTAGGCGTTATTTGTATTTATTTTTTAGAACTGCAATAAAGAGAAAGTGTTTGTGTGCGAGAGAGATTGGCAGGCTGACTGGCTAATCATGCAGAGAAGAATGGATTGTAACAAAGAACTAGGCGAATAGCTATGGGGCGTCCAAATACTTTAGAAAAGATCCTGGTTCAGAGTCTGTTTCACACGGTAGATGGGATTGAACAGGTCTAAATATTTCTGGTGAGAGAGGAGAGAGAGAGAGAGAGAGAGAGAGAGAGAGAGAGAGAGAGCAGGCAGTAGATAAATAAATATTTCTGTAAATATAAATTCCTAGTGAGTAGTGATGTAAATTACTCTATTTTGAGGCATTACTATAAAATTAGGTCACGTCTAGTGTCATTTTGCCTTAAGTTCACATCAACGCGTTAATCTATTGCCGGGAACGTCAGGTTTGTACGCAACAGTCTTCATGCAACAAAAAATTTTTGCTCAGATTTACGTAATTAGTCCCGGACACAGCATTCATTTCCCTGAAGATGTTCATAGAGATTATATACTTTTATGATATAATATAGACGTATATGTATGTGACAGTGTATATACAGGTAATATATAAAGGAATAATGAAATTTTTGAATTCTATAATACATATATACACTTATATGAAAAAGCATGTACAAATTGTCCTGTATATTTTCTTGTATGAGAGTATTTTACTGTACTACCTCATCGTATATCACGAATACCGTACGTAATCTTTGCGTAATGGTAACACTATTCTGTTTACGATTCAGAGTATAATATATATATATATATATATATATATATATATATATATATATATATATATATATATATATATATATATATATATATATATATATATATATATAAAACAGACAGATGCTAATATTAAAAAAAAATATCAGGTATTAATTTCTAACGTACTTTACAAATTTACCTGTTCATCTAAATTTTGACAGACGCTCAACAGGTGTTAAAATATGAAATGGTTTTTAAACAGCTATTATCAAAATCACCTGTTGGTGAGAAGGCTTCAGTACGTAAAAAGAGACACAACAAAATTCTTTAATAAATACTTTTTACAAATTTTGAAAGAAAACCAGAAAAAAATAATGTATTGCATCGCACTAACCAAGAATACACACTTAAAGACCTTGGTCGTTGCAACCCAATGACACATTGCAAGATCAATATACCCGTACTCAAAAATAATGTATACAGCTGATTTACAGTGAGATTGACAGGCGCTTTATTTGTCATCGATAATTTAATTAATTTATCCATACTATGCAATCACTCACTGACGCACATCAAACACTCAGAGGCTCATAGTGTGGCGGAGAATAA